AACCATTTTTCACAATTGCTGCAGCATCCCTCTAGTCTAGTGGAGCCGCATGTGGCTCTTTCATCTCTCTGCTGTGGCTCCCTATCACTGGTCAATGCCACAATTTTAAGAGGAGCTTCCGGTTTGGGGGAAAGGCAGCACAGCGCACCAGTAGGAGGGGCGGGTTTTCCAGTTGGCTCCACAATTGATACGGCTTTTGGTTAGGATAGGTAGAGGAAAAAGGATGCCGCATTAGGAAGAGACTATGGTGGAGGAACCAGACTTCCAGTCAGCTCCAGAATTGAACAGGGGGCTTCCGGTTAGGTCCTTTGTGGCTCTTTGAGTATTTAAGGTTCCCGAGCCCTGCCCTAGTCACATGATCAAAATTCAGATGCTTGGCAACTGACTCCTATTTATGACTATTGCATTGCCCCAGGATCATGTAATCACCTTGCAACCATTGGTCCATTTTCAGGGTCAAAATATCTTTCCATTTTTGTCCATAGACTAGTCTTGCTACCATCAACATCAGTGGTGCAATTGAGCGGTTCTATCTGGTTCGGGTGAACTGGTAGCGGTGGTGGTGAGAGGCTCCACCCACCCACCCAGATGTCATCACATCCTGTTTTTGCTGCTCTGCGCATTCTCACATTTGCGAGCCGGTAGTGAAGGTAAGTTGATTTCACCTTTGATTGACATGTATAGCATCAAAGTTCCAATTCCCCCCCCCATGTCTTTTTCCATTAAGCCCAAAAGAAAAGGCTCTAGTTTTATCTTTATATTCACTTTAGGGATTACTATTTAAAAGAAAATTTTTATGATGTGCCATTGGTATTTAACTCCAGACAAGTTATCAAAAATGTATAAATGTATTTCAAATGAATGTTGAAAATGTAAATGTAAAAAGGGGAGTTTTTAACATTTATGGTAGACATGTGACAAAGCAAAGAAACATTGGAGTAGAATTCTATATTCTAATACAGAAAATGTGATGTCTTAACTGCTACACTAAAATGGCTTTGATGTGGAAAATCCCAAATATATTGAGAACATTACAGAGAGCTGCCATTCTCATGGATTGGGCAAATAAGAACAGAAATATGAAACACAAACTTTAGTTGTGTTATTATGTTTTCTTCTTCTTTCCCCAAGAAATGATTCTTAACAAAACTCTTCTCACGTGAGAATTTCAAAATTGGCACTGGAAGCTTCCTGTAAAGGTAAAGATTCCCCTCGCACATATGTGCTAGTCGTTCCTGACTCTAGGGGGCAGTACCATGGTATTGGACCTGGGTACTTGAGAGACTGCCTGCTGCCAATTACCTCCCATAGACCCGTTAGATCGCACAGGG